TATAATAGGGTATATATTAGGGTTTTATTGGGGTTATATTGGGTGAATGGAAAATCAAATGGAAACTACCATAGTATAATAGGGTATATATTGGGGTTAGATTGGGGTTATATTCATCTTTTTAAGGCTGAGGGCTTGGGGGGCCGTCTAGCAGGCGCAGAGATTTTTGAGGCACGGACTGGATGGCTGCCGGCACAACTGAAAGTTCAACAAGCCACCACGTGTTATTAACATGATGGCTAGCTGTTCGGAAGGACATGGCACATCAACCAGCCACCAGGCTCTACTGACGCAATGGCTAGTTGCTTTGAGTGAGGAAATCACACGAGGCTCACAACTTTCGTTACGCACTCTACAGGCACTACAGTGACTTGCACCAAGACCTGATGCGCACGCCAAACTCGAGTCACTATGTCCGGGATTTCACTGCGCGTGACCCCAAGCGCTAACTGTACCTGCATGAAGACTCCAAGCCTTTCAACCTTCGACTGGCTTTTCACAACGAGCTCAGCAGCAACACATGAGCCACGACTCTGGATAACCCCTCGCTTAACGATCTTGAACCCAGAATGTTCCAATCCGAATTCGCCACTGTCAGAAGCCACATCCCCCCAAGGATTCGCTTCTCATCCATCCAGTGGAGAGGCTAACATCCCATTTTGTTCTGAGTATATCTTGCCTGGCAAGACCACAACACCCTGCAACCAACCTAACTGGTCTGTGGTTCAAACCCCTCAGACTGTGCCATATAGTTCTGCGTTCCCGGTCCTGCCGCTTGCACCCCGAAATCCCCTATACCCATACCCACGGGGCTTACATCCACCGTGCAAAACTCTCAATCAACTTGTTGACTCTCATTTTGGCATCCAGCCTTAGTCTCAGGGTTGTCATCCAGGTGATCCTCCCAAAGCCTCTGGAAAGGGTTTCAGAATGCGAGCAAGATTGTGGGGGCTAGAGTTTGCGCAGGGAAGGATCTATGTTGGGGTCGGGATGTGTTGCTCAGTGGTAGATATTTGGCATGGGTCACCTGCTGCAACGGCCTCAGTTGATGGACAAGGGACGTCAGGAACTATGGCTGGGCAACGGGCCTGCTTGCTCGACGATAAATGTGGAATGAGAAGAGTCCCCTCCACAAACCAGAGGCTCTAGATACGTAAATACGACAGTCCCAGAAAGCTCTGCTCAAGACCAGCTACCCCTCTGCTGTTCTTATACTGGATACCCCGCGAGCCACTCCAGCACGTCTGAAGTGGAAGACGACTACAACCCTTCCCTGCGTGTATGTCACAAAAATGGATTGGCCTAAGAACGAACCCAGAAAGTTTGTTGGAAAGGGCCTCAGCTTCCGGGAACCCCATTGTTCCTCCTTTCCATCCTGTAGGGTGTTCGGAAGCCGACCTTGATACCCTTGGGACCCTTTCCCAAGGAACAGTGGTGGCTCAATCAGGTTTACCGACGAATCATTTTGCACGCAGCACCTTTCACCATGTGCTCCATTTACAATGCCTGCCACGAATTTGTATATATTTGACTTGCACTATGTTTGTTGACATTTTCCCTGCTGCGAGACGTGAAGCTCTTGCAACAAGCCTGGGCTGCAGCCGGGCATCATCTCGAAGTTGTCCCCAAAGCCGGCATCCTCCAATGCGACTTTGCCGCTGAGGTAGACGTTCAGGGCTTCCTCCTTCAGGACTGTCACATAGCAACCGCATCACACAGCAATTGTGTTACCTAGTTTCAACATATGGAAAGGCTGGCTTTCCATTACCTATAAAATAAGTAATGATAGGTGCGCTCGTAGCAACACCGGTTCTGACAAGGACGTTTTTCAAGGCGCAGGTTCCAGACTACCTTGCTAAGAACAAAGATGGTTCCTATCACGCTGCCTGGGAAAGCTTGGATGGAACTTTATGGCACAAAGGCTGCACAAAGTCCTATGCTTATCTCTGAGGTTGGTCGGAGATGTCGGATTCTAGCAAGAACCATGATGAAAGCCGCCACGCCCCGTTCGAGGTTAACATATGAAGAATCACCTTTATAAGTTAGCATGCAGCTTCATGCAGCACAGCATGTAGGGGACCACGCGGGCAGAAAAAGTCTGGGGGTGGAGGAGCGCTCTGTCTCAGCCCCTGTGAACATGTCTCCAGATTTCTCCTTTGTCGAGCACATTGTTAAGGCCACCTTGAAGCGTTCGCAGGCTTGGGTGTTCTGGCCTTGGTGGCTGATCTGGGCTGTCAGCTTGAAAAGGGTTGAAATAGCAGCTGCCCACCCCAACAATCCGCAAGGTGCGCCTACCAGGAAGTCCTGGGAATGGGAAATGCATGGAAATACAATCAAGTGAGTATTTATCAGTTGCAAGCGTCAAGGTCAGCCAGTCCAAGCGGCCCAAGGCTGCATGCGCACGGAGAAGGCCAGAATTGTTCCTCAGTGCTGAGAGGCGAGTCTCAATTGCGCAACTCTTGCAATGCCTAGCATGCATTCCTGCGTAGAGTCTGCATTGCAGCAGCCACATCAAAGTTTCTATCAAAGCCAGTACAGAGTAGCCCAGCTCTCGGAAACTGCCAAGAGGATGTAAATGCTCGTGCCATGCGGCAAGGCTCAGTCTCCGAAGTCTCTTGTTTCCCTGGTCCTTGTAGCACTCCTGTGCGCGGAGCAAGGCACGAAGGCTACCCTCGAAGTCCTGCAGGGCGCCATGTCTTGTTGGCATCATTCAGTAGCCCGAAGTCTGCCCTTGACATGAGAACCTTCAAAAGGCATTGGAAACTGCACAGGTGAGGGTGCCATCTCTTCCTACTGCAGGCAGCTGGAGCTCTGTTGTCCTTGTGGAGGAAAAGAGAGCGCGCATGTAGCTGATGCGCGTCGCCTTGGCGCTGCCTGGCAGGCGGCCAAGTCTGTAATTTAAGGGTATCAAAGAAACAATTTGAAGGCCAGCCTTGCAATGGGTGCGGAAGGACACTTCCCAGCCAGAAGCCCAAGAACCATGACCCAATGTCTGGCAGGCTCAGCTAAAGAAGGTGCAAAACCTCAACGCAATTGCCAGGCTATCCCAAAAATTGCGCAGCCCCTTATTTCTTGAAACCCCTCCTACCAGCCTTGTCTTGAGTCTCCATGTAACTCTGTATACGTAGGATTATATCACAAAGGCCACCTGCTGAGGAAGGGGAGCGAGAACTTCATGACCAGCTCACAGGTCTCGAGGACGCGCTTGTCTCTTGGGCTCAGCACGCCGTACGCTTCCTCAAGTGCAGGGGTCACAACTGCTGGGAGCCTGTTCTCGGAGAAACGTTGAAGTTGGGTTTGATGCACAGGCTGAGAATGGCGGCTTATGTTGAAAAGCAGGAAAAGGAGCTTGCTTATTTGCTTCTCTACAGCTGCACCGCCAGAATCGTCTCCTCGCCCGCGAGCAAAAGCTCCCAGCAACATGAAAGCAGCACCGTCCTGCCTCCAAGTAGCCTTTTGCCTGCCAATACCCTGTGAGATGCGGTCAAAGCTCCGCTAGGTCCAGAAGCTTGTTGGGCTCTGTCACCTTGGAGGCAGCCTTGCAATGATCAGTTTGGATGCAACTGGGCAGGGAAAGAGTCCAGCTATTCTTAAGCACAAACACAACCACGAAAAAAAAAAGCTGCCCACCTTTTCGGCTGCCGCGATCCTGGCCTCAAGTTGCCTCAGAGCTGTGTAAGGTTGCTTTCCAGGCCGCAGTCTTGCAGTCTACGATGTAACGTGAAACCTGGGTTGCGTAGGCGTACACCTCTTTTGCAATTGGCCTTAAAGGAAGGGCTTCAATAATCCCATGTCAGCACCCGGCGAATTCTCATGCTACCTCTACTGCTGAGGATTCTTCGTTGTGAATCATGAGTCTGAGACACTGTTTGGTGACATCTTCCTCGCGAGACTCCGAGTTCTCCGCCAGCCTCATGCGCTGCGAATTTCAAATTACGGCTGCTGGATTCATCCAATTTGCGCAACAGAAATAAAATAGGCGGGAAACAGATAACAGGAATACTTGTTCTCACAGTGGCATGTAGCTAGGAGCAGTCGTAGCAGTATCCGCAGCTGTGGAATGCAGGGTCATAGCTATGTGCTATCTTATGGTAATACCTAGTCCTGACGCTCGACACCTGTAACCAGCTTGATCATGCCAAAGGTCCAGTCATCTTTCAATGCCTTGATGAATGGGGTGTCGGGCTCCGGTGGATCTTCGAACAAGTCATAGAGCCAGCTCAGAACGCCAGACATTGCCGTGGCTCTTGCAAATGCAGAGACGTTATTAAAGGACAGCTGCAGTTCCAAATGAATCTGAAAAGACTTCGTGGGGCAATTTATTCGCTTGCCTTCAGTGCGCACTAGCAAGCTCAAGCTGTAGGGCTGACCAACGACATGTACAATGAACGGCTGGCATCATTGGACAAGGGTGCAACTTGAGCCAGTCACGGCCAAAGTTCTTGCTATAGGCCAGTCTGCATCTGCGGGTAATGATTGATTCTTCTGTTTACGATCCTCCACCACCGCCACCGCCGCCAGGATGACGACTGCTACTAGCACCGCTGTGGTGCTAATGATTGCTGCTGTCTGCACCGTTGTGACAATGCGTACACTTGGTGGAGCAATGGCCAAGTGCCACGCACTCGAATCTGAACCGGAGGCAACGGCCCCGGGTGCGGCCTCAAGAGACTTAAGATCATAGGCCACTTCTTCGGAATTCTACAGGCCTCACAGAACGAATGCAACCTACAGCATCCGCTTTACAACAACAAGTTTCGTAAATTTGAAGATGCTTTTTTCGAGGCACCCATCATGGTGACTCTGCTGGACACACGACGAAAGAATTTCAAACTTGACAAGCAAGAGTTTGCTTCGTACCCCAGGACACGCTCAGAAAGAATCTAGCTAGCAGAAGTCCCCAGGACGCGGATGAGGTGGCTGGGACGGCCTGCTTGTGAGATGGACAATTCCTCGAGGTACTGACATGGGTCATGATAATAGAGCACTGTACTATGAGGAGTATACGAGCGATTTGCTATGTAGGTGCATACCTACCTTGCATCTGCAACGTATGCTGCAAGCGAGCAAGCCACGGCTTCTTCACAGACACTGCCCGCATCTTCTTGGGCCGTGCGAAGTGCAAAGTTTGCAAATGGCAGGAGCCATTGTCAAGTCATGCGCGCTCTGGATTCCCACCAATGTTAGGGATCCATGAAATCTTGCGGAACCATGATGTAAGGCCGATGATGTAGATGTATTCAGAATTCAGGTATCCCCCTGCAGTTCCAGAGAAAGACAGACAGACTGAATCCTTGACTTCCATCCCTTACCCTCTCTATCAGCCCACCTGCAACACCCACGCGCAACAGCTGCGAACTGCTGTAAGCTTGTTGCACCCCTCTATTATCCCTATCTAACCCTGTTAACGCCCTATATGGTACTTACCCTGGATATGAGGACCCAATATAGACCCCAGCCAAAATACTTATGGAGACCCCCATAGTGGTACCCCTGCGGGAAAACTCCATTTTGGGGGGTTCCAATAGTAAGGATTACATCATTTGGGGGTCAATATTGGGGTGCCCCTGTTCTGTACTAGAATACAATTGTTTCCATTTTCTTTTTCACCCCTAAACCCCTACTATACTCTCATTACCCCCTATGTGGCCCCCCCTTTAAGGAGACTAGACTACGACTCATGTAGGCTTGAGCCGTGAACTCATCATTTTGGAACGGAGACCGCGGCGCAGGGGAGCCCGAGCCTGGCATCACAACAGCAACACCACAGTGACAGCCGCCGAATCAAAGGGGTGTCATGTAGGGATGATATAGGGGTTATATGAATGATGAGGATAGTGGGGGTTGAGGGCATTCCCCCCTAATAATGGAGAAGCAAATGGAAAAGAAGCCATGTATAGTTGATTTGTAGGTATTATGGCTTAGGGGTTCCATAACTTAGCCTTTTTGGGGCTACCCATATTACGGGTTATAGTATTTGGGGGTCAGTTGGGGTTTCCCGGCTGTTGGAAACTAACATGTTGGCAAATTATGGCAACAGCAGTGGCAGTTGCAGGAAGAAGAGGTGGGCGCTAGTCTCCGTTGCAGTGGCGGCCGCGATGCCAGTAGTATCCTCACTATCCCTACTGGCAAGAACGCACGAGGAACATGACGCTACCAGAGTCAGGTAGTACAACTTGGTGTCGGCAAGTGGCGGCCAACCTAGGTAACTTCATTGAGAGACTGTCAACATGTTGCTCTGTCACGCGAGTATTTGGAAGTCATCAAGGCGGCATGTATGCAGGAAATGCAGCAGGAGCAGAACCGTTTGCAAAGCAGATTGAAGCGAGCTGGCGGCTCGCGAGCAATTCGCGTGGTGTGAGGCAGCAACCAAATCAATGGTCCATTTGTCAAGTCTTACTCTTTGAGTCAATTGCGGCTAAAGCTTCAGAACCATGATAAGTTTATGAGCACGGCTCATCCACAGGTCCACCAGTTTGGTGGCTCAGAGACATAGATGCCTGAAGCCTCCTGGGCTGATCCAACTGACCACCCGACCTATCTGTTGACGTTTACATTCATGTCATACTCCAAAGGGGGTTCTTCAGTTGCGGCCCCAAAGTCCTCTCATCCCTTGACCTGAGATTTGCAAAGGCAGGTCGTTCAGTATTGCGCCACAGATTTTGCTCGCAGGTCTGGTAAGCCTGGTGCAAGAATTTGAGCATTGAATTGCAAGGGCCTTCAGGGCTCATCTGTCCAAGACCCAATTCCTAAAAGGAGTTGGAACTTCCTTTTGAAAGACTGCACATGCCACGTGAAAGTGGTCCTGCCAACGGACTTATTCTCGCCCGGCACCTAATTCCAGCAATACAGCTTGGTGAGACCCGTTGCGATTTCCTTACTGCACGGGCACGGCACCGCTTTGATGAGACTAGTCCGCATGCTAGTTTTCTGCTGCTATCTCCTTAATTGAATTGGGCATGTGCCTTGTGAATGTGGTGCTTGAAATTGCAGTGCTGAAGTCAAGGGTCATCACATCAAGGCTTTTGCCAACACTTGCCTGGATTGCAGCCTGAACCTGGATCTAAATCTGAGAGTCACCATCCTCGCAACACCGGAGTGCTAAGGGATCTCACTTGAAAAGTGACTGTGTACAGACATAGCCTGACATAGCGCCTTTTCCCAGGATTCGCAGCTCACACTTAAAATGGATTTGCGCTGGCTTTGCGCGGCTTCAGGCCTCTAAAACTCGATGCATGCTGAGAGTCGCTTCTTTGCTATTTCCAGCGCCGTCCTTCCTGCAGAGTTCCTTAGCAGCACTGCGGAGAGATCCCACATATCTACGACACTTTCCAATGTTTCCATGGTAGTGAAGAGATCTGCTACGGGCCGTCTTGGTACCGGTATGGGTCTTCCCCGCCTAGAGGCACGCAAACGCCTCCAAATTCTGGAGCTTGTCAGAAAGAGATGGGAGAGTAGGATATTGACGGGAACCAATGTGCCGAGTGATGATCAGCCCCGTGACGCTTGCATATTCCACAGCAAGACTAGCCAGTTTAGTCTTGATTGCAAAGCGTCTTTTGATCTGTCGCTGCGCCCGCGGCAATGAGCAATGAGACAACCTCATCAGACGGCACACACCATCAACGGCCCACCCTCCCACAAAAGAACGTCACTCGCTGCTTTGGCCTTGGCGTCTCCTTCCTCAGTAGCCACGTGCAGAGGGTATGTGGTGCGGCAAAATCTTCTCCTACCTCGCAGGGCTTGGCTCTCAGATTTCGTTGCAGCGTGTGCAACGAGAATTCAAGAGCTCAGAAGCTATCAAGGCCGGTCTGCACATGATCTGACCGCCACATGCTGCCTTCTGCAATTCAGACTGTAATAGAACATGCAAGGAATCCCCCACTTTGGGTTCCATTTGTCCTTGATCGTTCACTGTCCTAACATCTCATGAGGCCGTCCCTGCCTTTACGGGCATCTTCAAATCTGTTTTCAGCCAAGAACTTGCTCAAGACTTCTTTGCCATCCTCCTCCAGCTCGTCCTGCAGTAGCAGGCTGTTGTGAACATAAGTCATATCCGAGAGTCACCTGAGGGTCCAAAGGGCACAACTGACCTCTCCCAGAAAAATCTCCCATGCATCTGCACTTTGGTTGAATGGTTGCCTGCTTCCAAAATTCCCATGATCGAAACAAGATCCTCTGGCAGTATTGCGTAGACCTCGCAAGAAATCCTCACCCCTTGATGGAGGACACCTTTGCACCACCTACGGCCTTGAAGTGAAGTTTCCAAGTGCTTCAAGAAGCAGCGCAGGATTTCTCCCATCAACAGCACAAATACCACAAGTGCTTGTCAGTCCTCTGGGGAACTGCCTTTGGAGCTCGAGGTTTGAAGCTCGGTGCTTTCATCCTGGCCGTGGTCCTGGCATCCCGATTGAAGGGCCTTTCCGGAAAAGTTTGATAAACAAACCTTTCTTACATTGGGGTTAAATAGGGATAATGGAAAAGAAAATGGAAACTACGGGTTTATCTCGGGGTTATAATAGTTGCGGCAAGATTTCTGAGAACACAAAAATCAACTCGCAATTAAGGTCAGGGTGGCACCTGCAAAGCAAGCTGTTTCCAAACCGGCTATTGTCTACAGTAGCTCGCAGAAACAGGGCCAAGTACTGCTCAAGCCAAGGTTCCTGCGCCTTACTTTGGCAATCACATGTAAAAACATGTAAACAAGATTTGGTTTTGGAGAAAACAACGAAGCCTGCAGTAGGCAAGCCACTTTGTCGAGTAGCGAAGTGTTTGAAAGCAGTAGATACCGTGCAGCTTCACCAACAGGGTCCTTCTTGTCCACGCTTTCCTCTACCTCTTCCTCCTCCGGGAGTGCCGGCGCATGCGACCTCCAAGGGCGGTGACATGATTTAAGGATCCACAGCACATGCACTGTTGGGCTGAGAAAGCGATCGACAAGCGACGCCCAAGCCCATATAGGAGTCAACAAATTGAATGTGGTGAGCATATGCAGGCAGGACGAGGCAGGGTTTTCAAGAGGGTTGCAGGATGTCGAAGCTTCTGCCCTTCACATGCTAATGCAGGCTCCAAAGCAACAGGCATTCCTGTCAATGCTTATCTGCCAGTTCCTAAACAGCTAATTGTATCAGCCATATGCACTGAATACTGCATTTGGGCCCAGGGAACATAGGGCTAGACAACTGGCCTGCAGGTCTAGACCCCAAGCCTGCCTGTCACACAAGCGCCCGACTTCCATGTCCTGGCTCTGGTGGCAGCTCAAGGGCAGTCTTTCATGTGCGGAAAATGCACGCCAGCTGTTCATCATTGGCGGCAGAACTATAGTCCCGAGTATGCGCGCTCAGGTTGTCTTGATCGACGTAGGTTGGCTACCCGAATCCAAAGCATCTAAAGGAGGTCTTCATCATTTGTGCTGGGGTCCCGCCTGCTTGATTAACTCCAAGGCCTGCAGCCGCTCATCCTGCCTGCAACGGGCTTGAGTTTATCTGGAGGTAGGCCCAGGATGCCAACACAGGGCGCAGCTGAGCCTACTAAGCACGGTCTGGATTATCATAGGGCCATCAGCGGGTCACGCCGGGTAACTACAGCAATGCTCATGTTGAGCTCTTCGCGGGAACCAGAGCTGCCACGGCTACTTTGCGGCAATACTCTTGGCAGGCTCACCGACCAAAGTATCCCCGTGACTGGCCAATCCCCTCACGAGCCAGCTAATGCTTGCAACGTGGTTTTCGTGCACTCTGATCTCCTCAACGTTTCTTGGATAAAGTCGCGCCTGATGCCAATGTCCACTGGCGTTTCCGCAGGAGGAATGACCTGCCCATGCAAGCTGAGGGCTGACGTGTGCATTGCTGCCTTTGGCGTGGCTGAAGCTTTGATTCTGCTTGTACAATTATAAGTTCCGTTTTGTTACAGGGTGGGTATACAGAATGCATATCAAAATGCATATAAGATGCATATTTTAATGCATCTGCTGTTGGTCGCTTTGACGTCAAAGGTTCAATAATCATTTTCAGAATGATCATCGGCGTCATTGTCCTAGGTTCCATGAATAAGATGTATATTATCGGGTTCCTTGGACATTTTACAACATGATATGGATAATGATTTAAGCACCCCGTGTTATGCATTTGCCAAGGCAAGATAAGGCAAGCTAAGCCAAGGAACATGTAAGCTTTACCTAAAGTAGTCAAGCAGATGAGGCGGGTAGTTGCAGAGGCATAGTGAAAGCTAAAGAGTGTTAGCAGCGAATTGCGTCTGAAGAGTAGTGCAAGTGTGAGAAAAACGATAAGCGCCTAGAAGGGGAGGATTCCAGAGAAGAATCGCCCCAGATGCATTTTTGGATGCATTTTTTTGGGGCTCTGGCGTCCAGGAAAATTCGGGACTCCGAAGATGCATTTTCAGATGCATTCCCGGGACCCCCAAAATATGCATTTTACATTGTAAAATGCATATTTTTGGGGTCCCGGGAATGCATCTGAAAATGCATCTTTGGGGTCCACAATTTTCCTGGACGCCAGAGCCCCAAAAAAATGCATCCAAAAATGCATCCGAAAATGCATCCAAAAATGCATCTGGTGATTTTTTTCCCAGAATCTGCCCCTCCTAGGGTATGCTGATATACAGCCCTAAATATACCTTCTTTCACAGACTGTTACTGTTCTGGGCCATTAGCCAAGCTATCAGATCCACTAGTTGGCCAGGATTGGAGTTCAGCTGCCCATATGGTTGTTGCGAATGCATCCGGACATGATCTTCTAAGTTAGCAGTTGGCCAAGATTGGATTTCAGCTGGCCATATGGTTGTTACAAATGCATCTGGAAATGCATATCTTCATGCAATCTATGGACCAATGGATGTATTTTGCTGGGCAGGCGGTATCTCCAGATGCATTTTCTAGGGCTGAAATATGCATTCCTGGGTCCAGGGGCTGCAACTGTAACGGAACTCATAATTGTACAAAGAACACTAGGCCCCACTCATCCCACAGCACCCCCTCCAAGTCACCAAGCTGAACGTTATGGGCCAATCAAAGCATCAAAGTTTTGCCGTGGTTCCGTCAGCATGCTTAGCATCAAAAGGCAGAGTCCAAGTCCTCTACCCAACAATGCGGAATTCTTGTCCACAAGGACCCCTGCCCACGACTTAACGGCGTGGAATCTCCGAGCTTCAAATCATGCGCAACCTCGCCATGATCACCCCAGTACGAACCTACATTTTCTACATCGTAGTTACGGGAACTACTTGATAACGACATGTACGGCGCGGGCGGTGCCTCCCAAAACGTTTATCCAGTATAGAAAGTTGACAGTCCCCTTCAGCCTCCCCGCAGCCCCTCCAAAACGTAGACGGACGGTGATACGGCATGTATACAATCCTGGTTCTCACCCAAATCCGCGAAGCGAAGCAGCTTCTCCTAGGTCCGTACACATTCACCAACTGTTCAGGTTTCAACATCACAAGCTGAAGCTCCCCTTGCGTTGACTGTAGTGTAATACCAGCACGGAGGAATGGGACTAGTGCATATCATGGGCAGAGCTGGCCAATTGGAGGGCAGAAGGTTGAGACACAGGTGCAAGCGCCTGCTGACTTTCCAGCATTTGTCTCTCCCGCTCTTCTATCTTTGCTCGCAGCTGCCTGCCCGCATGAGAACTGAACGGGAAGACACACAGGTCCGGACGGTTGATCGCTATCACAAGTATTACCCACTCTGACTAATGCCCGTTTGTATGGAAGCACTACGAAGCACTTGTCCAGATCATCTTCATCAGTCCTGTAATATGCTGACTAGTCGCAACTTCCCTCCCGCCCGGCTCTTACACATGCAGGGAAATCGAATCCCTGCGAACACCGCAGTTGGATTCTAACATAAATCCGATAAATCCCTTCCTGCGTTCCCTGCCAAACAGAAAGAGCCTAGGAGCTTCTACGGGGTCCTGCTTAGGAACCTGGCACGACAAGGAAAGGTGGTCACTGTAGTCTGCACACTTGCCTTTCCCACTCGACCTTGGCCAGCATCCCACGATCCATCCTTGAGGCTACTGTGCAAAATTTCTTGGAAGTGGCCTCGCTTTGCTGTTAATGGCCATTGATACTACAATTCCATGGTTTATTGAGCCCCAAGCTTCATCATGTTTACCACATATGTTGCAGCAACAGGTTCCGGTACAGGGCAGGCAAGTAGCCCAATGGAGGTGATTGCAATTTGCACCAACTGTCTGTGTGACAGTACTCTCGTACTCTCCGCTGCTTTTCCTGTGAACTGGTACACAAACACATCAAACCGAACAAGTCCCAAAAACTCGCGCCAAACCCGTGGTTCTGCTTCGGTCCCGGACTTGCGCTAGCGAATCCTGCGCATGCCTGTAGCCGACATGGACCAGCATGCACATGCAGCCTCAACTGAGTGCTGCATTTTTGGCCTAGGCACTTTGTCTCCCCGTTCTTGGCAGCAAGTGCGGCGCGGATGGCACGCGAGGAGGGCAGCAGCTTTGCGTCCTTGTTGTGATGACTCTTGCTTACCTGTCTCTGGCTCCTTTGCTGTACTAATCACGGTTCATTGTTAAATTTGCTTCTCAGCTGGTGACCTGAAGAAGGATTGTGGCCATGCTAATTGCAACCAGCAATGGTCGACTTGTTTCCCGGCACATGAATGCTCCTGTTATTGTCAGTGGAGGGTGGCAGCCGCCTGGTTGGGAGCACCATGCAGCCGCGAGGACAATAATTAGCTAGTACCGCAGTAATTATACATAGCTTTTGTACGGCTTGGAGGGGGCAGGCTTATGGACTAGTCGTACTCACCTAGTACCGTCCTCATGAGAGGAAACCCCGGATTGTCAAATGCTACGTAGATCGAAGCGAGCTTGCAAGAGGGGCCGAGAATCGATTTCAATTCTCTGAATTTCAAGTCCAGGATATTCCTTCCCGAAGGTCAACCTAAACATGGTAGAAGTACTTGTCTTGGCACAGCCAAGCCACACGAACCCCTGGCACCTGTTCGCTGTCTACCCGCGTCAGGTCCACCTCTGCTTGCAGCTTCAGGACGGCTTGATATTGGATGCTTTGAACTATGTCTCTGGCAAAGGAGCCAGCCTTCACGGTGTCCCAAGAGGGCAGGCACATGCCGAACTGATTCCCGCAGGATTGAAGCGGAGGTGGATTGGACACGCCTCCGCAGGGACAGGTCTCGAAGCAGCAAATTCGGAAAACTGGCTGCACCACCCATGATTGTTCAAGCCAATGCCACCTCTCATCTCAAAAGCTGGATTGTGACTGGGGTTGAGCACCCAGGTCTGTCTTAGACTGCAGGTCCAGCTCACGTGCGATTACTGCAGCTTGCCTTGGCCCATCGTGACTGCAGGACAGGCGTGCTGCCGGGTTGGCGCTAGCGCTTTTTAGCGATGCCAGCTCCAACGTTGGACGGCTTTTTTGTTTGGGCTTCTTGTGCGCTGTCAGTCTTCTTACATAACCAGGTACCTGTGTAATGAAATGTCGTTGAATGACTTCGGATACCATCTGCTACCATATACTTCGAGCCACTCACAGCTCTGAACAGCGTTACGGTGCATGCTCCACATTGTTGCATAAAACTGTGACGCATCGCTCTCCTCAATCGTATCCAACTTATGCATGTAGGTGCCCGTTCACACTCAATCTCAATGGCACAAGTGGTCTGCCGTGCCTGAGCCGAATGGAGGCCACACCTTCGACCAGCCGCAGCCAGTGTCATGAAACTTCTAAAAAACATCATTACAGCAATATCCATTTTATTTTCCATTATCCCACTATAACCCCAAGATGACCCTAATACTACTCCAATACTAGTATATGGGGATAATGGAAAAGAAAATGGAAACTACAATAATGGGGTTTAAGAAAGCTTTGGCATCTTCAACTGTCAGGCCTGATTATAATAAAGGGATAATACCCCCAGGGCCCTGGGGATTACATGGGATTATAGGGACGATGTAGGGATTATAGAGTCTATGAGATTCTATGGGATTGTAGGGACTATAGCGATTATGTAGGGATTATATAGGGACCCAAGTATACAAAAATGTAAAATAAAATGGACAAGACACTGGCAAATGAAATGGAAACTGGGATTATTATGGGTTATATTGGGGTTTAACAGGGGTAAGCCTTTCCGGCAGAAAATCATGGTATCGTGCCGGTCATGGGCAAGTTAGGCACCAAGACACAAAAAAGCTGGGGCGATGATTGCTTGAAGGCTTATCTTTCTAATCCGTTCCCCCTAATAGTAAAACTCCTCCACCCCGCCCCCCCCCCCCGCCCGATCGCCCTAGCATAATACACGGGTTTTGCCAGAACTCCAAATTCTGAACTCCGTTCCCAGACTACTTTTTAAAGGGCCAAGACCGGATCCTCTCAATTACGGGGGTCCCTAGCACGACTCTTGAGGTTAGGGATCTTGTTGATTTCCTAAACTTGGATGGTTTTTGAATGGTTCTTATAAAGGAATTGATATAGAATCTGGATGCGATGTTAATTGGGTTTACTGCGATTTTTGATCTTTTAAAATCGGTGTGCGCTGAAAGTTTTACGTAACTTTCGATTGATTTTAATCGATAATTTAGCTTTTCATGGAATTTTGCAAGGACACGGGGTCGTTTTTGCGCCCCTGCTGAAACTCTTTTTTTGGCTGAGCTTTGAAGCTTCTTTTTTGAAGTAAGATCTTTTTTCTGCAATTTCGTCTTCGCCGGTGTCAATGGAATTTTGAACAGATCTTAAATAGACTCTAATGGGCTTGATTACGTTTTGGAACTGATTTCAACTTGGTTTTACTTTTACTTAGCTTTTCATTAGATTTCAATGGCTTTTACTTTGATCTTAATGGGTTTAGTACGCTTGGATTACTATTTTGATTCGATTTACTCGGATTTAATAGAATCTTATACCATTTTAAATGACTTTAACAAGATTCTACTTAGCCTCTATTAATACATTCCTAATATTCGGGTCGTACTTATAAACCCCCCCCGCCCTCAAGATTAACTACTTTTCGGAGTACATACATTAGGATGGGGCGAGGACTTGAAACCCTCTAAAATTATAGTATACTATATGATAACTATTGTTGCTAAAATTACTATTCGTATTACCATTCTTATTACTACTCCTATTATTGCTAGTACTATTACTACTACTATTCTTACTATTATGACTTTCGGGGGGCTATTGGGTTATATTGGGATAATGAAAAAGAAAACGGAAACTAATATTTAGGGGTTATGGGGTTATATAGAGGTATATTGGGAAAGGATAGGATTTTACCCTACATTAGAGAAAATACCCCGATTAAAGTAATTTCCATTTTCTTTCCATCATCCCTACATGACCCCAACATATTCCCTATAATCCCTGGTGAAATCATCACCATCATCATCATCATCATCGTAATCACGTTGGCTGGCCATCGCGACTGCCATGCGTATCCTGAACATATTGGGAAGAATATGTCAAGGCTGAGACGGGCACCTGGCTGTCCACAGCAGCTTTCACCTTGCCACGATTGGAAGTGGAGCGCAGACACGAATGCTGTAGCAAATGGGTCTCCAGGGCCTATTATGGCTGACCGAAGACCTCAACAGCTTGAAGTACGGCTCACGCAAGCTACGGGCTTGTTGCAAGTAATCTGTCACCAAATCTTGGCGACTCATCCTGACGGCTTGCGCTAGAATCCTAGGATTAGTGTAAGCTCTTATTATCCCACGGTACATGTAAACGTTCTAAACTACCTTGCCGAAGTAGCTTGTACCTAGGCCCGTCTGTCTTTCTTGACCATGTAAGGCGCATCACCCTCCTTTTTTGAGGGTGGATATGTATGGGGCCATATCGAATCCGACTGCCGAGCACGGACCATGAAATATTAAGAGAGGTAAGGAGCCTGCATGAATTGATTAATTGCATGTGAGCTGAGAGCTCAGTGATGAGAATGAAGCTCCCTGTCAATATAAGGACAGGGAAACATGCAAACGTGAGGATGGCAAAGATTCCGCACTCATGGATGGCGCTATTGGGTGGAAGGATTCGTGCTTCAGTGCCTCATTCAGAAATCTGCAGTTTCTGAAAGATAGTACCGCAACCTCATACTCCAACCCTCGAACCCAAAGCATCTACAACCCCCCCTCCTGGACAGTCCTTGCACTGAGACTAGGCAGAAATTCAAGGTTTCAATACGGGTGCGTTCTGTCTGCCCCGGTACAAGTCCTCTGCAAGAGCGATAGTAGCCCAACAAAAGGCCAAACAAACAAATTGCCGTTGAAAAACTTTGATCCAATTCTGAGGACCGCGACACAGCAAGACTCAAGCTGCAACAGAGTTTTAGCACATCCTTTGTTTATGTCCTACACATCCTCAGGTTGTACAAAGTGCAAGGCTCAGAGGGCGCCTACAGCACTTTAGGTCCTTCACAGCTCAACTACCCCAGTGTTGAAGCTAAGTTTGACAAGCAAGTAATTGTTTCGTTGTTTCTTGATTTGCTCTTGCTGTTTTACTTCCTGCCGCAATTTCTGCCATGTGTATTTCCATCAGTCATCATCAATGTTCTTGCTTTCGTTGCCACTATTTGTGTTCTTTTATTCTGCAGTTGAACTCCTGCCTGTCCGGCTTGCACGCGCGCAGCGCCTGCGGCCTTCTTGAAGGCAGCTCCAGCCGTCCTTGCATCCCCCGACTTTGGGAAGACTTCTGTCCGAGGATTCCAGAGAAAGGCCACTACTAGCTACCGAGAATATTCTAAAGTTCAGAGCTCATTCTGGGAATCGTATGAGCCATAGTCTAAACTCCTGGTATCCCCCTTAATGACCCCTACAGTAGTCCCCCGTTTAGACTCACTCACTCACTCACTCACTCACTCACTCACTCACAGAGCGCCAATCAAGGTGCGCAGCACACGTGAAACGTAGATAAATCACACAAAAACGCAGGGGGAATTGAGGTATTAGTGTGTATTTACGTGGTAAGCCCAAGGGCTGTTGGCTTGCTGCCATTGTGAATTGTCTTCTGGAGGATTGTTGTTCTCTTCGGTTTACTGCTGCCTCATATACTTTGCGAATGGCTTCATTATCGAGTATCTGTGGAACGGCTTCTTCAAGGGCATATAAAGCATCTTTTGAGACTATAGCTCATACTATGGCTTCTAGTGCTAGCTTGTTTTCTCAAGCGCTGTGAGGCCAGGTCCAAATTGGAAGGGCGCTTTACCGACCAGATTCATATGGGGGTTTCCCAAAATTCTGGGTAATTATCTTTTTTTGGAGGCCTCATAATAAGGACTATAAAATATTGGGGCCCATATTAGGGTTTCCATATTTTGGGAAACTTCCATATTACATAGACTCTAGGTATGAGCATGGAGATTCTTATGAGGATTATTGCGGCATCGTGAGGCTAAGATGGGGCGAAATCACTCAAGAAAATCAAGCACACGCTGCTTTCAAACCAGCATCATTCATGACGCTAGCAGCTGCGATGCTACTGCCAGCAAACTACTGCCGTAGTCACAACACGAACCCCTTGAAAACAAGGCAAAAGGGCAGGGAAAGAGAAAGGATCCTAAACCCTAAGCCCTAAACTCTAAACCCTAAATCCCTAAACCCTAAACGCAGGGATCATTCCTGGAATGATACCCAGATAGGCGAAGGGATTTTAACATAGAAGAGTTTAGGATAGAACTAGAATCCCATAATTTCTGAAATGAGTGATGAAATGGAACACTGGCTGAACATGAATTACGATTTCAATCCTCAGCTGTTCATGAACTGTCAATACTGTTCTGGATGACTGCTTGCCGCTCTAAAGAGGCGAATCATGAAGCTATACCACCTGTCATCTTGTACACACGGTCGCCTACGCAGGCACTAGAATAGCAGCAAACCAATTTGCGGCACGACCTACCATCAGCAGGAATATGCCGTTGTTAATTGGTCTCACTAGCACTCTTTCTAATACCGGAGAGGGATGGATCAGCTCAGGCCCTAACCCGCCGGCGACGCTGGCCCAAGCCACAGCGGTTGAGAAGTTGTCGCCTGCCGGCCTCCCAGCTGAAGGCTTTATGTTTTTGCCATCCCCGCTACCACCAGCACCGGCACCCACACCGCCACGACTGCGACCAGCACAAGTGCTAGCGCTAAGTACTAGTTCTACTTTGGAAGGAGGAATCTTACCTCCAAATTTTGTGATTCTTAGGATGCAAGGAAGACAGGCCAAGATCTCCTCTGTTGCCACTACTGCTACCAGCAGCACACCACTACTACTACTACTACTACTGCTGCTGCTGCTGCTGCTACTACTACGACTACCACCACCGCTGTTGCTTCTGCTGCTAGCTCCT